ATCCCATATCACCTGCAGTACCTTACAGACGTGGTAGTTTTATATCCATCCCATATCACCTCCAGCCCCTTACAGCCGTGGTAGTTGTATGTCTATCCGATATCACCTGCAGCACCTTACAGCCGTGGTAGTTGTATGCCTATCCCATATCACCTGCAGCACCTTACAGACGCGGTAGTTTCGTATGGCCCTGTGTTGCACCTCCTGGCGGTCGAGGTCTCTTCTGCTGTGTCGTGGTTGCTGGTGGTTTCTGTGTCTGTTGTTGTTGTTGTTGTTGTTGTTGTTGTTGTTGTAGCTGTTGTTGTTGTTGTTGTTGTTGTTGTTGTTGTTGTTGTTGTTGTTGTTGTTGTTGTTGCAGTAGAGCACTGTGTTGTTGTTGTTGCTGCTGCTGTCGTATTTGCTGGGCCTGTTGTGTCTGTTGTTGTGCATTTAGTTGTGTTGGCTGTGATGGGTTGTACTGTTGCTGCTGTTGCTGTAGTTGCAGTTGCCGTTGTTGTTGTTGCAGTTGTTCACGCGCGCGCTGCTGTGCCTTTGCCGTATCGGTTCTCTTTGCCAGTAGCAAGCCACGTACAAATGGATGAAGATGTATGTGAGTTTGTGCATGAGTATAACATACGAATAGATGTAGATATATGTGACTATATGTATGATTATAACATATGAATGGATGTAGATATATGTGAGTTTATGCAAGATTGTAACATATGAATGGATGTAGATATATGTGACTCTATGCTTGATTACAACATAATTACAAGCTTACACTGTATATGAATCCTCGCACAGGTAGAACCTCTGTACCAATATCAAGTCACATATGAATGAGTGTGGATATATGTGAGTTTATGCATAATTGTAATATATCTGCGAGCGTACACTGTATATGAGTCATCGACATAACGAAAAAGCGCTATGATGCTGTATTTAGGGGTAAACAGAGGCAAGTCAACAAAATGGGGCAAACCAATTACAAACAGTACCGAACTATATCTCAGTGTGACACCACCACATTCCGCGCGCATGCCATAGCATACAGCACATGGACTATACTAATTTACTATGTTCACGGCATACACCTTCACATGACTATCCTATCGTACTATGTCCACAACATACTCCTTCACATGACTATACTATCGTACTATGTCCACAACATACTCCTTCACATGACTATACTATCGTACTATGTCCACAACATACGCCTTCACATGACTATACTATTGTACTATGTCCACCATATACACCTTCACATGAGTATACTATTGTACTATGTCCACCATATACGCCTTCACATGACTATACTATTGTACTATATCCACCATATACACCTTCACATGACTATACTATCGTACTATGTTCACCATATACGCCTTCACTTGTCCTGACATGCAGCTCTCATACCGGTCTGCGGGCAGACCCTTTTCTCAGTGGTGGCGCTGGTACATTTCTTGGCACAGGGGCACTCGGGTGGTGAGCAACAGGCACCCGCGCCTGTATATGGTGCAGATATAGCGCATGAGGCAAGAGAGTATGGGGTAGGTAGGATACATCACATAAGGCAACAAACAGGTGTCGTATATCGTACGCCTGTGTATGGTACGGATATATGCCCTCAGACAACAAAGTAGAATGTAGGTAGAGTCGGGTATAATGTTCATCAATGTGGTAAGAGCATGGCAATATATTCCATAGTATCTACGGAGATAGAGTACGACTCTTGTCTGCGAATCGTGTTAATGCAATATATAGGTGGCTACAACATACCTGAGATGTATATGCAAACCCACTGACAAAATGCAGCAGTGGTTAAGACCTACCTGAGATGCATATGCACACCCAATGACACAATGCAGTGGTGGTTAAGACCTACCCGAGATGTATATGCATACCCAAACCCTAAAACCCTAAACCTACCTGAGATGTATATGCACACCCAAACTTTAAACCCCTAAACCTACCTGGGATGTCAGGTGATGGGCTGTTGGCATCGCTTGGTGTCCTGTGGTGCCTCCTGTGCATAAATGAGGCCCAGTGAGTGGTATTGCGAGTGTGTTTGAGTGTGTGAGATTGATTGTGCACATAGCAACAAACGCGTATATGCGCATTTTTTTTCGTTTGTAAATGTCTCTGTGACCTTGCCAACACTCCATCGAGAGACAGAGACAGAGAGAGAGGTAGAGAATGTGTGTGTGTATGTGTGTATGTCCTATACCTGTGTGATACTGGGAGTGTGGTGATAGCCTAACACGTGCTTAATGCTGAGGATCATTAGCGCGGGTTCATGTGAGCTTGTGGTCTCTGCTTGTGCGTTAGTGTCTTTTTGAAGGGTTTATTTAGGTGTGTGCATGTGAACTTGTGGTCTATGCTTGTGCCGAAGTGTCTTTTTGAAGGGGTAGTTTGGGTGTGTACATGTGAGCTTGTGATCTATGCTTGTGCGTTAGTGTCCTTTTTAAGGGGTTGTTTGTGTGTGTTTTTTGATATATTAATACCCATATGAAGATGAGTCATGAATAAAGTGGTACGTGCGTGAGAAGACAAAGAACTAGTCACAACCAGCCGGAGGAGGATTGAAACACCCGTGTGCATTGAAAGCGATACTACTTGGCTAGTATATGGAATTAATACAACAGCCACATAACGCCTGTTGACAATA